GAAATAGCACTATATAACATTTTAGACACGTTCTAGACAGTTTATCAGCTAAAAAAAGTTAATTTTGGGGTAAGTTACTCTTTAAAGAGACAGAGGCCAATTTCTAGGTGTTTAGAAACAGAAATGATTTATTTAAACATAAAAACAGTATTTTAATAACAACTGAAGGCAACATAGTTACTTTATTATGGTATAGAATTTAAATATAACACATAATATTGCCCGTTTTAACTGAAAGGCCTCAAGCCCGTGGCGGTACATAAGGTCCCTTTACACTGGGATGATGACCCCCGTTCTCTCACTAGGACATATTAGAGCAGTGAAGRGCCACATGAGYTTTATGGTGACCCTTAAWGGGCCAGTTCTAATTAACTTTGACTAAACACAAAACTTGCGGTAGAGCACAGCAAACAAACAATAACTGAGCTCTACGTGGTATTTTGTCCATAGAAACAGCGTTTTAAAGCAAACTCCTAGAATCTACTGTATAAGAAGTATTCCATGTACGACTGACTAAATGTGAAATAAATAACACTGAAATAGTAATAAAAGTAAAAGTCGGGAGCTTCACTCAAAGTTTTTGAGTCGTTGTGAGTAGCTGGCGTGTTGAATTCTGAACACCCACTATCCGACAAGGAATTCCCTCTAAAGGGACATTCCAGTTTAAATTTATGACTTGTAAGTGGGAAATTCTCATTCTCATACTGTGTATTAGAGGCTGGGTTGCCACAAATTTGGAAAACCCTTCACTGTGAAGCATTCATGACACTGCTATCCTCTTAGAACTCACCAAATTGTTTTTTTTTTTTTGTGTGTGTCATTCCCACACCCACAGTCCAGGCTCAGACTCTCTGTAGTTGCAGGTATTTTGAAATAGTGCTGCTTGTATAAGATGAAGAGAATTCTAATGAAATACTTTTATAGATGATTTGAATAGATCTGTGTTCATTTTTATGTCATGAAACATAGGGCTGAAACCCTAAAGCTCAGGTCTAACCACACAGATGGTTTCAGCTTTAGTTTGGAGGAGTAAACTTCTTCCTCAGAGATGCAGGTGAAGGAGTTTTCAGCCACACCCACYCTTTATCCCTCCTCACCCAGCAGCTGAGTGTGTGTCTGGTATTTGTTGGTAGAGTGTTGTAACAACTTGCTGCCAGAGATGAGGTGTGATCTTGTTGTAGCTTTTAGATCTGATCCTAACATGACCAGTCAAGCTTCACATTCTCAGTGACCAAGCCCATCCCATGTTATGAATAGGCCAGGTCTCCAATACACTACCTCTATGATGAAAAACCKCTACAACCTTGACATGAATGTTTCATGTATGCTCACAATCATCATGGACCTGTCACATTTTTTGAAGTGTACAGGGGGGTTCATTGCATTCTGAAGACCTCGCCAAGACCCTGCAATCATTGTGACCAACAACACTCTGGATGGTTTTTAAATGTCATAGAGCGGTCTTCATCCAGTGTGAAGGGGGCTGCAACAAGCAATTTCCTGCATTTTTGTCATAAAAATATACAGTACAGAAGAAAAAGGGAAAGATAAAAGAAAGCAGTCAAAATATTGAATAGTGACGTCTCACAAGCTCTGGTTGTGTAAAAATGTGCCTGGATTCATCAAGGAGCTCATGTTCCACTCTCCATCTGTGATTTAAAATTCTTAGAGGAGAAATGAGTTTAAAAGCCTGAAACCAGCGTGAAACAACACCTTTTGTTACATGAACAGTCAGGAAAGCAGTAACTCCCCGCTGAACAGATTTACACTATCGGATCTGAACAACAGTTGAAAAGCTGCGAAGAAGTTGAAACACTTATTTAGAGCGACGCAGTGTGTAAATGTGAAGTCTGTCCACGGTCGGGACAAACCTGATCTGTTTCTAAGAATGAGCAGATGTACACTTTAGAGAGAGAACACCCAAAATAAAGGAAACCACCACGTTTTGAGTCACCAAAGATGAGAGCTGCACCAAAGCAATGCTTCAGAGCAGCGAGCACAAATAATTGATGCTCACGCTCTGATGTCAGTTCTCTGTGTCTTCAGTTTTTTCATCTTTTAATCATGTAGGGTTTTGGATTTGACAAGCAGCTCAGTATGTTGATGTTCTATTTTTTCTCAAGCTGCAGTACGAGATTTTTTTCTCAATCTGAGTTTTCGTTAAGGATGCCTGCAGATTATCACTGAAACACCTTTATTACTGTTTGCAGCTCATTTCGGCGGCTTAAAAAACACATGTCAGGCCTACACTGAAATGTGCCGTTCCACTGGGAAGAGTGTGCCATCACTTTTAATAACAGCGCAATGTATGATATTAACAACATTTGTACAAAAACAATAATGGGATTTTGGGGAGACAAGTGAGAAACCCCAGCCTTCTTTAAAGGTCAGACATACTTCAGAGCAGAAACATTCAAAGTTCAGACAGAAAGAAGAAAGTTCAACTCTTCGACTGAACTAGAATTGAGATGCCTTTAATGGTTTTTCTGCCGTCTTAACTAATGATTTTCTCAGACTTTACTGTGGGATGTTCAGCTTGTTGGGACGACAATACACCAGGGATATTAAACTGGTGGCTAGTGGGCTGCTTCTGGCACCTTTGGTGAATATTTATTTAT